ATCGGGCACCCGATTTTTATAAGGTGACCGATAGATCCTTGACATATTTATATTACACCTATCGGATACCTATCGGGTACCTATTGGATATCTATTGGTCCCCCTGATAGCTACCCAATTGGTCCCTGATATATGTCTGAAATATGGATTTCAACCTGTGTTGTAAGACCGACCAATAATCACATATGTCAGCATATCTAACATATATCATAATCGTTAAGATCCTAATGAAACATATAAATTCTATCCATATTAAGTTTTTCCAAAGCCATTCGTTTGCATATACATATTTATTTGTGGAAGGAATTACAGTTAACATAATATATTCAATTGACAAAAAACATTCAAAAAATTGTCTCGATGATGCATGCTCAATGTCAGAAATATGTACAACTGGAGCATTTGAATAGGATCAATAAACTTGACAAGAATCAATAGTTATAGCTGCATCTATCTATAAAATTTCATCCATATTATTAACATTTACTTCTTCCTCCTATTCGCTATCACTTGAAATAATTGTTTCGAGCTTACTAACAACCAATTCCTCAGGTGTGTTGTTATCACTGGTCGAAAATTGATAAAACATACACATATCGGATACCCGATATGTGCATGGTACGTCCCTAATATTGGGTGTATATTGGGTACCTGATATGTGTAAAAAATATTTTATATATATATCGGGTACTCAATAAGTGTAAAAAAATATTTTCTACACCTATCGGATACCTGATATACATCTGATATTAGGGACGTACCATGCACATATTGGGTACCTGATATGTGTATGTTTTATCAATTTTCGACCAGTGTATTTTCATTATTTAAATCATTATTAGTTATATTAGTAGTTACATATTTCATACAATCTGCTGAGACAATAAATTCTATCTCCAGGTTTGAATCAAGACTAATAATCTAGTGATTTGTACTAAGTGCTTTCTGTAGAACAGCAACAGAAAATCTTTTGGTTTTTCACATGTCCCTTACGAGTGGGCAGACAATTTTTTCACCCACAACAGTACCTAAAATAGTGGCTTTAACATCTTCTCTAATATTCAGTGAAATGTGTCTCATATATAATTTTTTTAAAAAAAATCAAAAAAAAGGGTACTACAAAATTGTATAATATCCATAGTAGAAAATTCTGATATTTTGAACAGGTATTGTATATATTTTTTCAATCATATTTTTATTTAACAAACTTTTTTTATCTCTTAAATCTCCTTTTTCATGTAAATAAATAGGTAAAAATCATGAGCTGTTAAATAAGTTATTTATAACCTGTTAATTATAATCATTTGAATATTATATTAACCAAATTAGTATCAAAAAAATATTACTAAATATATGAAATACTTGTTTCTGTGATTGAAATGATTGATATTACATATATACCATTCGAGTTAATATTGCAGATGAAACTCAGCGTCACATGAAATTTTCTATGTAAAATATATGCTGTGACCAGTGGTATGTGACAAGCCATTTAAGATAAAAATAATTACATAATATGAAGCTAGGTGGCTTCTTCAATTGGCAGATACATGATTTTAAAAACTGTCTAAATTTAGTACAATGTATTAAATTTAATATAGTGAAATCCTATCTATTAATTTATTCTTTTTTATTCTTTTTTTTTTATATTATAATAAAGATAACTTCAAGTAGAAAATTTGAATTTTAAATTATACCTGCCATCCAAATTCAAAATCCAAATGCCGAAATCCCAAATGCCGAAATCCCAAATGCCGAAATCCCAAATGCCGAAATCCCAAATCTCAAATTTCAAATTATGATTAGTATTTTTTGCCGAAATCCCAAATCCCAAATTCCAAATACTAGTAATTTGGGATTTTGACATCCCAAATTCCAAATGATTTGGGATTTGGGCAACACGTATATTTTAAATATATACTACATAAAGATAAATTAAGTTTAATTAAAATATAGTATTAAAAATTTGATAGATTATATAAAATTTAAAAAACAGATAAGATAAAAAATTTTCTCATATGTTCAATAAGAAAAAGAATATTAGTTGTCAATATATATTTTAAAAATATTGGGTTCATAATATAAAAAAATATAATGTTTCTGATATTACTATTTATTATCATGTACCTGATATTAATAAATATCAGATACCTGAGATTAAAATAAAATTTATCATATGGCTATTGTAAAGATATGATCTGTAAATAACTAATCTATTAATTTAACAGATCATCCATGGTCTTACAGATGAACGGATCACTTTTTCTAAAACCTTTGGATGATCCAGATTGAATAATAAATAATTCAGATTATCCATTAAATTCACAAATTGATAATTCAATTCACAGATATAGAAGTGAAAAAAGTGGATAATATAAAAGTAGATAATAATAGAGAAGTGAATAATATAGAGATGGGAAAAGTAAATAATATAGAAGTGGAAAAGTAAAAAAAAGTGTGTTAATATAGAAGCAAGAAAAGTGGATAATATAGAAGTGAAAAAGTGGGTTAATATAGAAATAGAAAAAGTGGATAATATAAAAGTGGGTAATAATAGAGAAGTGGGTAATATAGAGATGGGAAAAGTGAGTAATATAGAAGTGAATAATATAGAAATGAGAAAAGTGAATAATAAAAGTGAAAAAGTGTATAGTATAGAAATGAAAAAATGTAATATATAGAAGTGGATAATATAAAAACAGGAGAAGTGAATAATAAAAGTGGAAAAGTATGTAGTATAAAAATGGGAAAAGTGTAATATATAGAAGTGGATAATATAGAAATGGAAGAAATGGGTAATATAAAGTAGGTAATAGAAATGGAAAAGTGTGTAGTATAGAAATGGAAAAAGTGTAATATATAGAAGTGAATAATATAGAAATGGGAGAGGTGAGTAATATAGAAATGGGAGAGGTGGATAATATAGAAATGGGAAAAGTGAATAATATAGAAGTAGATAATAATAGAGAAATGGGTAATATAAAAACAGAAAAAGTAGATAATAGAAGTGGAAAAAGTGAGTAATATAGAAGTGGTAATATAGAAATGGGAGAAGTGGGTAATATAGAAATGGGAGAGGTTGGTAATATAGAAATAGAAGAAGTGGGTAATATACACTCCCCTAGCAAAAGTATTTGTGAAATGCTAATCGTGGCACAATGAGTGATCTAAATTGTACAAACTTTTTATTATTAGATTCCCTAAACTAGGGCTATCTTATAATATATTTTGTGATAAAATTGAACATCTATACATAGAGATATTATGCTTCAAATGAAACTGACAAAAAATGATAAATTTTATTCTTAGATCGTTACCTATACTGCATTCGATGGGTATTAAATATAGATACAAACTATCTTATGCGAAATTGTAGCTAAAAATTATATCTACAACTTTAATTATTGACGTTTTTCTCGATACCTAATAAAAACTTTGACTTCACTTAGACGTGAATAAAAATGACCGAAATTTTAAAAAAATAAAAAGAATTCGAAAATAATTATATCGATCGTTTATACCTGAAAAACTTGATTATTTATTAACTTAGCGATAAATGTGGTATTAAGTCACCTTAAAGCCTGAAATATGGAGCATCTTTTTTAAAAATTTCAGCCTTATACATTGATAATTGAGAGAACAATACATAATTAAACTTTAGAGTATAATTTTGAAATGCCCGATATTCAACCGTTAATATTAAACTCGATTCTCAATTTAAAAATCTGAGATTTTCACAGTAGATACTCCACACTTTAAAATTTAGTTGTAATTAGTACCATTTTTATTGTTATATTAATAGATAAAGAAGTATTTATTATGATTCCGATTGGTAATTATTTTTCAGATTTTTGATTTTTTAAAAATGATCGACACGGATTTAAAAAATTCTTTAAAATTCAAACGATCGTTATATTTTCAATTTTTGTTAAAAAATTTTAAAAATTTAACAGCAGATGTATTCAATTTTATCTTTAATGTTACTTAGTTTAACTTTTACTATTTTATTATTAAAAACAAAAGTTTTGTAATTATTTTCGAATTTTTAATGTGTTGATTATTTTTAAGAAATAAATTGAAAATTGAGTTTAATATTAACAGTTGCATTTCAAAATTATACTCTTATTTAATCATGTATTGTTCTCTCGATTCTCAATATATAAGGCTAAAATTTTTACAAAAGATGTTTCATATTTTAGGCTTTAAGATGACTTAATATCACATTTATCATTAAGTTAATAAATAATCAAGTTTTTCAAGTATAAACAATCGATATAATTATTTTCAAATTTTTTTAAAATTTTATTAAATTTCAGTTATTTTTATTCACATCTAATTGAAGTCAAAATTTTTATTAGGTACTGAGAAAAATGTCAATAATTAAAATTGTAGATATTATTTTTAACTACAATTTCGTATTAGATAGTTGGTATCTATCCTTAATACCTATCAAATGTGGTATAGGTAACGATCTAAGAATAAATTTATTATTTTTTGTCAATTTCATTTTAAGCATAACATCTCTATGTATAGGTATTCAATTTTATCACAAAATATATCATATGATAGCCCTATTTTAGGGAAATCTAATAAAAAAAAAATTTTACAATTTAGATCACTCATTGTGCCACAATTAGCATTTTAATTTTAACAATTAGTTTCGAATTTTATCATTTCACAAATACTTTTACTAGGGGAGTATATATCTTTAATTCATGATTTGTGTAATAACTTGTAGATCTTAATATATTTAATCAAGAATAATTATCTTATTAACTAAATCGCTGAAACGGAATCCACAATAACTGTACATATTTATCATGTCAAATTGTAAAAAAACTGTTAAAAATTATAATACAACGGTTATTAACATTGAAAAAATTGATTCAAAAATACATTATGGACCATTTTCACAATACTGATGAATTTCAACTGAAAATAATGAAAATAATACAAACTCATTAATTCCAATACGAATAGGTATGAAAACTCTTACCAAGCTTAATAAATATGATTTTATTATTACTATTTTGGAACCTAATACTCAAAATTTATCTGGTCCAAGATATCAAGTAACCTGTGGATTAAAAAGTAGTGAAATTTGCACAAGTTCTTCTATGGCAATTACATCTCTATACCAACAAATTTTTAATACAAAGACCAAATTCTCAGGACTACTTGTAATGGGTTTTGATCAACAAGATATTGTAAATCAAATGTTAGAAAATATTCAATTTCGACCTTTTGAATTTTTTATAGAAAAACTTAGAATAATAATTATTGAGATTGGTACATCAAAAAATTGTAAATGGAATTATGCTGGAGTGGGATATCAATCTTCTTTTACTTATAAAATAGAAAAAGAAAATTTTTTATTTGTCTAACATTTTACTGATATAAAATGTATTTTATCAATTTATGAAAATAATATGATCAAAAAAATTATTAGTGAAAAAAATCCAACGGAAGTTTGGATCAAAATAGATAATAAGCCAAAATATAATGCAAATAGTTTATTTGGTCTTGAAAATATTTACACACAAGAATTAATTAGACAATTAAAGGTTCCTTCATGCACATTAGAAGAATGGAATGATGAATCTATTTTACAAGAAATTTTCAAATATCATTTTAAAAAACAAATGAAATCAAATATTAATTGGATGGAATTTATTAGATTATGGAAAAACCAAAAAAGCGAGATTATTGAATTACAAAGTAGTTTGAAACAATTATATGGGTCAGAATATCAAATAAATTTGTGTGAATTATGTGCATGGAAATCAATGTTACGACACATGGGTTGCAAAGAAATTACACCATATGATAAAAATCAATCAGAGGTAAAATAATATA